TCCATCTCACTAAATGATCTAAATCCTTTTGTAAATCAGCAGCATCCTCTTCACAGCTAGCAACACCCAAGACCTTAATATCATCTGTAAATTTAAGTAATATATTGAACATTCTTTCATCTATATAACTATATTCCTTCATCTACTTAATTGACGTAAATCAAAAAGAGCAAAGGTCCTAAGACTGAGCCCTGAGATACCCCACTTGTAACATTAATCCAGTTTCACTGAACTCCATTTGTAACAGCCCTTTGCTTTCTTCCATCCAGCCACTCTTCTATCCAATTTGTTAACTTATCCCCCACACCTATAAAAATAAATTTTTTATAAGCTTTTTATGTGGCACCTTGTCAAATTCTTTCTGAAAATCCAGATACACAAAAGCTACACACTTACCATCATCTACATAAGAAGTAAACATTTTCAAAGAATGTCAAAATATTTGTAAGGCAAGATTTTTCCTTAGTGAAACCATGTTGACGATACAATAAAATTATAAAATTTGTTAAATGGCTTCACATAGCATCTTTTATCATACTTTCCAAAACTTTTCTCACAACTAATGTAAGACTAATGGGCCTACAATTACTGGAACAATTTAATAAATTTTTGCTTTCTCTCATCCATCCATTATACGATCCAATTTACTTGTTTTTTCCCCAACCCCTGCCAAGGTGGTTTTCTAAACTCACATTTTACATAGTACATTACCAAAAGATTTAAAAACCTAAGTTTACTAAGCCCACACTTTTTCCATCATTCAGATAACATGTAACATTTACAAAAAAAGTTAACAGATTAGTAGGAGAAGATTTAATTTTAGTGGATCCAAGTTGATTTTCTTTTATGATATCATGCTTTACTACGGGAATGTGTGAAGCTACAATCACCAGCCTTTTGGCTCCTTTGTGTTATTAACACACATGTACATTCTCAACACATTTATGGTAGTTTTGTCTGTTGTTAAGCATAAAGATGGACAATAAGCTATCTATGCTGTGCCCACTACAAGTTCAACCTCCAAATTTTAGCATTAAAAACCTCAAGCTTATTCCTGAGTCAGAGGCATATGCTTAACAATACAAATTAAGATTTCTCAAGCAAATTTCCACTGCATCCATATATATTGTGTTAATCTTTAAAAAGCCTGACATTTAACATATATGAACATACACTGTATAATACGCAAGTCAAACTTACCATGACTAGTCACTCTGTGGACACCAATTCTAAAAAATAAAGAAATTATTTCTTGACATTCATGTATTGCACAAAAATATTTTGAAGAAATATATAAATTTATATTACAGGGTTTACAGTTAATGTACATGTATATCTGGTAGCATATTATTAATACCTTAAACACAACACATGTAAATGCATTTTTCTCTTTATAACATGAACATTTTAATACTTTTTTTCAAATAGCATAAAGTTGTTCCTAATATCATATTTTGATATTCTCTCAGCAGTGATAAAAAATAAATATACATTAATTAGGTAGTTAGATATTATTTTATCAGAATTCTAATGGAAATGAATATACTAAAGCAAGTACTAAAATAACTATACTATGATCCAGATAAAATATGTATTAAACAGAAGTAAAAAATGAAATAAATAAATTGCACTGACTTCTATGTTGTTGGTTTTTCTTTTTTTTTGTGAAATATCTTACTATCTTAACAGTATACTGTATATTTTTTAACAAGTGAAATGTACTTTTTAGGAAAAACACTACAGACCATATAATGCACTTTCAAGCACATTCACAATATCTCTAGATAGAATATTTTACATAACACAAGCAGCTTTTTTACCTTGACCAATTGCCCTTATTTGACTAATACTTCTTATAACAAATACATTAAAAATTACATTATTGGCCTTTCTGAATGTGTATAGTTTGGTATAATACAAAGTTGCATAAAGCTTTTAAATGTAGAGGTAACATGATGTTCTAGAACAAGTTATTTTCTTCCTTTGCTTTTTCAATAGCTTAGCTACAACAATAAGATAAACAGGATTCAAAGAGACTGGAGTAGTATGTTGCATTTACAAATAATAGAATCAAATCCAATCATAGTTGATAGAATATTGGTTTTCATCTGCAATATTTTGTACAGATTTTGTTTTATTTATTATACCCTTATTGAAAAAATTGTAAATACTACAGACTATAGTCACGGTGCATAAACTGTGGAGCACACGCTCCAAAAAGGACACAGAGTCGATGGGGGGCACACAACTATGACTATAGGAGCATATATTTATAAATTATATCTAAATAAATTATAAATTACTATTAAGTAATACAGCAAAAACAACTAACAGGAGAAAATGATGTATAGTATATGTACAAATACATTATACAGGGTGCATGAGGGGGCACAACAAAGTGTATGCTTAGAAAAAGAGAGCACCATAAAAAAGTCTATAGGATTAATTAATATTAGTAGTATATATAAAAAGTGATTCAGGAAAATAGTCTACTATGTGGTATTGTAGGTTATCCAATCTACGTCAAGTCTTAAAACAGCAGTTAAAATTTTTGCTTTTTTTACTTGCATGTTTCAATATGTGTAAACAGCTAGCGAATAACATTGTTTCGCTACCAACTTTTCAGGAGGGTAGCAAATTCTAACTACTGCCTTACAAAGTTAACTTCTAATTACAGACTAAAACCATGATGGTAAGATTATGATTACATCCTTCCTACAATAGAAACACAAATCTTATTTTAATTCCTATGCTTTTCTCTGAATGGCAAAACAGCTGAATTAATCTTACATTTCTAACAATAAGATTACAACTGAATAATATTTCAATAATCATATTAAAATGTAATTATAAATGTTTTTAAATCTAAAATTCAATACAGAATAAGAAAATTATTACAGCAGGGAATTATATGCTGTTACAATTTAGCATTAAATTTATGATGAAAAAAATTTAAAGATCAGTAACAAGTTTTTCCTATGAAAATTTAGCTTGAACAACAGAGGCAACACTATACAACAGGCTCACATAAACAACAAAAAATAATTTATCTAGTGGGTTATACTTTAATTTACTAAATTCAAAGCAGTTTTTTTTGTTACTTAATTAACAGGATATTATGATGAAAATTGTTTAACCTCAAACACGATACATATGTTATTTTAAAATTAAATAAATTCAGCACCTAATAGTAACATTAATTCATTTAAACTTAAAGTAATAAAAACAAATTTCTTATATGTGCAAAATTGAAGTTTGACTTTATTATAGGGTTTTGTGTGTGTATATATATATATACTTATAACAAGGGGCATAGAAGCTGGAGGGCCAGAGGGCATACACCTCCAATATTTCTAAACGGGTTATGTAAAACATAATTAAACATTATTATTACTGTGTCAGTATCATAAAGCCAAAGAAACATAATAGAGAATAGCATTACATTTGGCTGATTTATATACATATAATAATAAGCATTAAATTTCATCCTACTGAAATAATACAATAATAATTTGTGTTCATTTATAAAACCAAGCTACTATTGACTGTGTTATAGGTTATAAATAATGTATTT